AATGAAAACATAAAAATGCAGATACAAGTCACAAAGGCATGCAATCAAAATGGCCAGAGGGCCCAAAAACACAGTTCCACAGGTCTTAAGTAGCTCTCTGCTGATTGACAATTAGCTGGATATCTGTGAGTAGCATCCAATCAGGACAGAGGAGATGGAGCCAAGACATAACATAAGGAGTTAGTTGAAAGAAGAAAACCAACATCCTCCTGGGGGATGTAACAAGTTTTAAGACCAAATGGTGGAGAGTCCCAGATATTTAAACCTTAGTGGGAGTTACCCCTTAATAGGGTCTTTGACCCACTATTAAAATCATGTGTTTCATCACATGAGCCAAGGTGTCAAAAAGGGGTGTGGGTCATTATTAGCAGAGGTTTCGGGTGAAACCATTGTGAGTCCTTGCCTCAGCCTATCATGTGACCTTTTGAGGTCACCTGACGCAAGATGTGAGTGGGGGTTAAAGAACCTGAGAAGGGATCTCAAAACAACATTGTAACTGATAGACAGCTGATGTTGTATGGCACCTCCTCTGTTCAAGTATGGTCGATCACAGTGGACATAGATGGCTTCTGTCAGTCCTCTTTCAAACCATCTTCCTTCTCTGTCCAAAATGTTAACATTGGCATTCTTGAAAGAGTGACCATTATCCTTTAGATGCAGTTGTACAGCTGAGTCTTCTCCTGTCGACGTGGCTCTTCTATGTTGTGCCATGCATTTATAGAGTGGATGTTTGGTTTCTCCAAATGTAGAGGTGTGAGCACTTCTCGCTCCACTGCACAAATGAATTTTTGTGCCACTGTCTGTACCCAGGGGATGCTATACTTTGCATATATGAACTTCCAAAGATCCACAAAGGATTAGTTCCACTCAGCCCCATTGTTAGCAGTATAAACAGCCACCTACAACGTTTCCAAGTACCTCGCCACCATTCTAGCTCCCCATGTGGGGAATATACCTCAGCACATCAAAAACTCTACTGACTGATGAATCGTCATGTGAGCTTGTGAAACGTAATTGCCTTCCACATTGCGTCTTTGAGGTAGTGCTAAATGAAAATAAAGCAAATTGAATCTTCTCTGAAGGATGACTGGTCTTTAGAAATAGGATTTTCCCCCAGATGAGCTAGAGGAGGAGGAAGTGACTGGGACGCGGGAGGTCTAGGCATCTGGGATGTTGAGGTTGTTGATCCAACAACCCAGATGTGAAGAAGTGGCAGAAAATGGATGGATAGATGCAGTGAGTGCAGAATTTCTATTTCTAATGGATTTCCACACTGTGAAAATATATACGTATCATATATTCAAGTAAAATACCTCATAGTACACTTTTGTCACACCGTATGTTTAATTGCATCATTATTTTTATTCAGTTCATGCTGTTATGACCAACATTACCACAAACACAACAACATTCCTGACAAATAATTCTTTCACAAAAGCTCATGTACAAGTAAGAATGTATTGTAGACTACATGTTGCTAAATAAACACACAATATTCTTTTTATGTTATTTGCTGTATGTATTATGTGATTGTAGAGTAATTGAGAAACAATAATTATTATAATCTAGTGCATTTTGTAGAGTACAGACCCATGATCTACATCACTTGAAGTTCTTCAGAGGCCTGGTAATGAACTAATCATTTGATTCAGGTGTGTTGACCTAGGGTGACTCAGCCCTCGAGGCCTGGAGGATTTAAAAGATAAAATGAAATCTGACGGATGGATAGCGATAGGAAGGTTGTTCCACAGATTCGGTGCAACCAGGGCAAAAGCACGGTCACCCCTAGATTTAAGTCTAGAGCTAGGCTGAGCCAGGAGTAATTGGGCTGAAGACCTGATGGCTAAGAAGATCGGCAAGATAACGAGGGGCTAAATTATTTATAATTTTAAAGGTGAGCAATAATATTTTAAATTCAATGCGATATTTTATGGGTAACCAATGCAAATCAATAAGAACAGGGGTGATAGAGGCATGCTTTCTAGTGCCAGTCAGGAGGCGAGCCGCAGCATTCTGGACAAGCTGAAGTCTGTGAAGGAGAGCAGATTGAAGACCAAAGTAGAGAGAATTACAGTAATCCAATCTAGAAGTCACAAAAGCATGAATGAGCTTTACAAGATCTTTATGAGGGACATAGTGCTTAGCCTTAGCAATAAGGCGCAATATCCTATGTTTGGGCTGCTTTGTTAATCAAACTCTATACGTGTGCCATTGATGTTAACAGAAGTGTTCCTTAAAGCCTCAGACAGCTGTAAATATGTAAATTATTTTTATTATTATTTATAACCTTGATTCTGAATTGTGTACTAAATTAGAAAAAAATAAATCACCTTCCAGGGATAGATTTTGCTTCCAGATCCCCACTTAAAGGCAGTTGAACTGCATTCCAGCAGGTTTAAAGAAACAGCGCAAAGCCAGCAGAATAAAATGTGAAGCCATAATGCCGATAAGCAGGAGACAGAACCCAGAACGCGTCAATGTGCTTATATGTCAGCGCATCATGGGCGATGGTTTTATGAAAATTCACCTGTAAATCATTTGTCCTCCTTCTCCTGACCGCCCACCCTGACACATTCGGAAGAGCAAGTCATAAACAAAACCAAAAATGTACATATAGATACGGATATGAAAGTTTTAAAATTATTATATGAAACATTTTCAATCATCTTGGAACATTTTAAAATTCAGATCATTATATGTGAAAATTCCATAACACACTTTTATTGACCTCAACAGTTTTCATGTAGTTAAACTATTGCATTTTATCAACATGTAACTAGAAGTAAAGGTGGACTTTGCATATTTCGTGTGTGTGTGTGTGTGTGTGTGTGTGTGTGTGTGTGTGTGTGTGTGTGTGTGTGTGTGCGCGCGCCGTGTTGGTGGTATTCATCTTTCCGGAGAATTTTCCAGACATTTGTTTGTGGTTTAAAATTTGTTTCTCTTTGGCATCCATCATCACATAAGCACTTATGCCTTCCCACCTGCTTACTGAGATCAAAACCTTACCTGTTGATGTTGTTTTTGCTTTTGCTAACTTTAGCCATTTTTGTGGAAATTTATACTTATTTTTTTTTCTGTTGTTGATGCCATTTTTAACCAAAGAAATGCATTAATAACTGGTCGCGCTAATATGGGTGATGTTGATAATAACCATTATATTAAGATCTTTTTTCATACATATCACTTTACCTCCCTATTGGCTTCAGATGTTGTTTTGTTTTGTTTTTTGTTTTGCATGCAATGTTGCTCATCCAGCAGCCGAGTGTGAAGCAGCGGGAATGAGGATCAGCACCTCCAAATCTGAGGCCATGGTTCTCAGCCAGAAAAGGGTGGAGTGCCCACTCCGGGTCGGGGATGAGTTCCTGCCCCAAGTGGAGGAGTTCAAGTATCTCGGGGTCTTGTTCGCGAGTGATGGGAGAAGGGAGCCGGAGATCGACAGACGGATTGGGGCTGCAGCTGCAGTAATGCAGACGCTGCACCGGTCCGTCGTGGTGAAGAGGGAGCTGAGTGTAAAAGCGAAGCTCTCAATGTACCGGTCGATCTACGTCCCTACCCTCACCTATGGCCACGAGCTGTGGGTAGTGACCGAAAGAACGAGATCGCGGATACAAGCGGCAGAAATGAGCTTCCTCCGAAGGGTGGCTGGCCTCTCCCTTAGAGATAGGGTGAGAAGTTCAGCCATCCGGGAGGGGCTCAGAGTAGAGCAGCTGCTGCTCCACATCGAAGGGAGCCAGCTGAGGTGGTTCGGGCATCTGACAAGGATGCCCCCTGGGCGCCTCCTGGGTGAGGTGTTCCAGGCATGTCCCACTGGGAGGAGGCCCCGGGGCAGACCCAGGACACGCTGGAGAGATTATATCTCTCGGCTGGCCTGGGAACGCCTTGGTGATCCCCCGGATAAGCTGGAGGAGGTGGCTGGGGAGAGGGAGGTCTGGGCCTCTTTGCTTAGGCTGCTGCCCCCGCGACCCGGCCTCGGATAAAGCGGATGAAGATGGATGGATGTTGCTCATCCACAAAAGTCAACCGACATAATAGCCCCCACTATAGCTGCAGAATCCTGCAGTGGACATACAACTCAGCCTTCAGTTTAAAAAGTTTTAGCTCATTTTTTTAGGTTTAGAAAAAAATGTATATAATATATTTGAATTATAAACTCACGCCATGATTTCATTTTTGATGTGCCATGATTTCCCAGACTACCTCAGTACAAATTAATGCGAACCACTAGTGTGTTCTCGTTTAAATGACACATTGTGCTGTACTTACGTTTGTGCTGAATGTAGACTGCAAGTTTTTTTCTTCTATATTTCAAAGTCAAATATCGCACAATGAAGTTCATACTCATACTCCATTTAATTTCACAACTTTCAAGTACAAATACAACAAAGAAAAAAAACCTGTCAGTTATACAACATGAAATCTGCTGTTAAAAGATTAAAAGCAAATTATAGTCAGTGATTCAATAAGGCTCCAATAAGGCGCACGGGATTATAAGGCGCACTGTTGATGAACGGGTCTGTTTTCATACATAGGGCACACGGGATTATAAGGCACATTAAGCGAAACAAAACAGTCAGATAAGTTAAACTTTACTCAACTCATTCTTCTTGCTTCCTCCACCTCCGTGCCATTGTTTGATTAATGATGAATGCACCTTATAGTGCGGAAAATACGGTATATTAAAATAACACAGCTCACAGTTACCTACTTTTAGCTACAATTTTGTGACTAACATTATTCCAAGCAAAACAATAATCCTGAAAAATAATAAAATTTCAACTACAAGACTGTATGTTCATTAATAAGCACAAAGCACTCTTTCTGTGTTATGTTTATACCTCACATTTTCGAGTAACTCAGAAACAATGCATCATATAATCTAATGTGATGGTACAATTTATAATATGCTAAGATATGGTGTATATATAACAATCATTGTCTGTGATGAAAGAAAATAAATGTAAGTTTTTCAGATTCTTTCATTTACTTTATGAACAGTCTGTTTATTGTCCTTCCTGTGCTTTTGGCTGTGGCTCCTCTTCTGTTTGAGTTGGTGGGACGCCCTCTAAGAAGGTACAGAAGTACTTTGGTGTGTTTAAGTCAGGTTTCCTTAACAGCAAGTAGCATTTTGGAAAGTAGTAGGCTGCCAGCAGTCCAAAGTTGCTTGCTAGGCTGAAATAAACATGGACAACTGACCTGTTCTTGTTAGCTGAACTATTGTTTCCTATGTAGATTGGAATAAAGATCACCCAAATGACACAGTAGGTCAGGGTGGAAAAGGTGATGTCTCTGGCTAAGTTATACTGATGAAGAGGCTTCACTGCCATGAAGGTGCACATGAAGGATGCAAGGGCCATTACACCATTGAAACCCTGCATTAAGGCAAATCCAATCAAAGGTGAAACAGGACACGATAGGAATGATTCTACAAAGTCTATTGTCATATTTGCCACATATCCAGACAATGAAGGTCCTTCTTGAACAAACCAGCCACAGAGACCAGCCTGCACAGCGCAGCAGATCAGCACAAACAGCCAGCTCACAGGGCCTCTTAACAAATGCAGGTGAGAGGCAGCCATCTCTGGGAACTCTGTCTCATAGAGTATCTGTTTGAAAGGTAAGGTTACCATCTTGATTATAATGTATACTTTTTATTTTATCCTACAATATCCTTAAGTTTGGCATCAATACATATAATTCCCATTTAAAAAGCTTCTGAAATTTCTAGAGAAATTTAAACTAGAAAACCTGTCAAGCTGCAATTTACATTTATCTGTCCAAGCAGGTATGTGAGCTGTTAGAGAGACTATGACAAAACAAATTGAAATCTGGAATACAGACACATTACACAAAAAAACTGAATATATTATAACAGAGGTTCTGGGCCAGCATCCAAAATCAAATGTTGCAAATAAAGTACAATTTCTTAAGTGTGGATCCTTCTTTCAGAAACAAAGACAAAATTTGATGTGATTTTGGGGTAAATTTCTTGAAATTGTATATATAGAAAAGACAATTCATGTTTTTTTTTCTATTAATGTCAGTATATTATAAATATTAATAGTACCTGGACAGACACAAACTCAGCTCAAGTATGATTTTGCTGTAATACCAATCTGACCCATCAAGTAAGAGTTTATGAGGCTTCATATTTTCACCACCTTCACTACCTCTATGTCTTGCATCTTCGCTTTTTTACCCACCTGCATCTAATTCACACACATATATTCTGATTGTTTCTGTAGACATTTACTTAAAAAACATTGTAAAACCTCTTGTAGACAAACAAACAAAAAAAGCTATCTGGACTCCATGGATAATTTTAGATCAATCTCCAAGCTTTCTTTTCTAGCTTAATCCTAAACAAACCTAATGACATTCACATGCTCAACACACTCTATGACTGTATCCAATATATTAAATCATGGATGTCCCACAACTTCCTTAAGCTAAATAGAGACTGAAGTAGTCATTGCTAACCATTGCACAATAAACACCGATCAGGCAAAACATTATGACTACTAACAGGTTCTGATAGAAAAGTGTCAGAATACACAGTGCTTCACAATTTTTTGCATCTGGGCCTGCAGCTGCAGATCAGTCAGGGTAAACTTGCTGAGCTCTGTCCACTGCTGAAAGCACCAACAATGGGCACATGAACTGGACCATGGAGCAATAGGAAAAGGTGGTGTGGTCTGAATAATATTTTCTTTTACATCTTGTGGATGCCCAGGACCATGTGTGTTACTTACATGGGTATCATCTGGCACCAGGATACACTATGGGAAAAAAAGCAGCCCGGTGGAGACAAGGCAATGTTCTGCTGGTCCCGTCATCCATGTGGATGTTACGTTGACACCTAGCTAAATATTGCTGCAGACCATATACATGGAAGCAATATTCCAAGATGACTGTGGCCTCTTTCAGCAGGATAGCGCATACTGCTACAAAGCAAATGTGGTTCAGGAGTGGCTTGAGAAGTCTCAATCTAAGTGAGTTCGAAGGAAATGTTGCTAACATCTTGGTGCTAGATACCACTGCTCTAGTGGAGTCCATGCCGCCATGGGTTAACCCTGCTTTGGCAGTACAGTGGTCCCTCGTCATAACGCAGTTCACCTCTCCTGGCCTCGCTGTTTCGCTGATTTTTTAAAATAATAAATAATAGTGGATTGCATTTATTCTCTGGCAGCTGCTCTATTCCCATGTTCTGGACCTGAAAACAGGCTTTGATCTTTCTTTTCTTTCTATAATATTGGACTTATTTTTCTAGGAAGGTTTGAACTTTGAGAGTGTGAAAAGTGTGAAAAGGGTCATGCCTGTCTGAGAAAGTGTATTAGGTGTGTAGTGAGGGGTTTAACGGCCTTAAAACATCTATAATAATTGTAAAAAATAAAGCTGGCTACTTTCATTTCACCTATCGCGGATTATTTGTAGAACGTAACTCCCGCGATAAACGAGGGACCACTGTAAAAGGAGGACCAACATGATAGTGGGCAGGTGTCCATATTGTTATGCCTGATCATTGTATAATGTCTATAAGTGATATTTTTGTAGGTTCTAAGTAATTATTAGAATAACACAATTTCTTAATACAAACAGAAACATTACACACTTTTAATCTGCTTTACAATCTGTTAAGGTTCAAATATTGATCCACAAATCCCAGCTGGGAAATTTCAATTTTTTTTCTCTCACTAAAGCTGATTCTGTAGTTTCTCTACACTGCCATCGGGAGGCGGCATTTCACCAGTCTTAACTCACCTGTAGTGAGAATAAAAGGATAATGGAGAGGGTGAGCGTCTGGAAAATGGAGGTGAAAGGCAGCTGAAGACGACACACCACATCCCCTGGCGCCCCCAGGAAAAGCAGCAGACTGAGACATGCTCCCATCAGGCCGAACACAGCCACAAAACTCAAGGGACCCCCCGAGGCCATTACCAGTGGGGTTCCTCGTTGCATCAGGAACAAGACACCCACTGACCCCTGACATATCAGCAGGAGCGCACCAACTAGCATCATTATCACAGCATCCTGGCTGTGCCACTCAAAAAACTTAAAGATGGGGTCAGTGCAGTTTGTGCTGCGATGCTGGGACCACTGACGGTTGGGACACTTAGTACACTGGGTGTCGTCTGTGAGTGAGAAAGCACAAAAATATGGCTTGATTAAAAAATATGCTATTTCATAATAATCAGATTAACTCAATACCGTATTTTATGTATGATTTACTGAATCTGTAAACATCAAATGTATGGTGTATTGCAAAGAAGCAGTTAAAAAGATCAATATCATCTGTGTTTTAAATCTATAGTTATCATTAGTTAATGTTTTAGATTAGGTTTTTACAGGGGCTTTGTGTGGAATTATCTCTTGGTTGCATATTGTGACTCTTTGAAGCTACAACTACCACAATATTAAAACTAGCTGTATGTTATTCTATGAACTAGAGATGCTAGACCATAGAATTTTATTAAGGAGGGGAAAGGCTCTTTTTACATCACCTGGTTTTATGTCATATAAAATTACCTGCTAGCTTAAAAAAATAAAAAAATATACATATAGAAAATTCCCCTCTCGCCCTTACGAGCGGTCTGTATTCTTCAAGCTCATCTACCAGAGGCCTGGGAGTTTGAGGGTCCTGTGCAGTATGTTAGCTGTTCCTAGGACTGTGCTCTTCTAGGCAGAGATCTTGGATGTTGTTCCTGGGATCTGCTGGAGCCACTCGCCTAGCTTGAGGGTCACTGCACCAAGTAGTCCAATTACCACTGGGACCACTGTTATCTTAACCCTCCACATTTTCTTCAGCTCTTCTCTGAGCCCTTGGTACTTCTCCAGCTTCTTGTGTTCCTTCTTCCTGATGTTGCGGTCATTCGGTATCGCTATGTTGATCACTAGGGCCATCTTCTTCCGCTTGTCTACCACCACTATGTCCGGTTGGTTAGCCACCACCATTTTGTCCGTCTGTATCTGGAAGTCCTACAGCATCTTAGCTCGGTCATTCTCCACCAACCTAGGAGGCGTCTCCCATTTTGACCTTGAGACTTCCAGGCCGTACTCGGCACAGATGTTTCTGTATACTATGCCAGCCACTTGGTTATGGTGTTTCATGTATGCCCTGCCCACTAGCATCTTGCACCTTGCTGTTATTTGCTGGATTGTCTCAAGGGCATTTTACACAGCCTTCACCTGGGCAGCCCATATCACGATAAGTCAGCTTTTATGGATCTTGTACTTAGAGATTGCTCCTGGGCTGCCATGATTACATGATTAGTGCCTCTGTGCTGTCTTTCAGTCCAGCTTTGTCAAGCCACTGGTAGAATACACACACACACACACACACACACACACACACACACACACACACACACACACACACACACACATATATATATATATATATAACACATAAATCCTTTTTTATTCTCTTGACAAGGATGCAAATAAGCAAATAAGGACACATATCTCAGATAAGAGTGGCCGAACACATTACCCTTATTTGCCTGGTAGGTGCCTGCCAAACAGTCAATACAGTCAAAGCAGCAGGAATGGAAGCCTTTGACTCTGTGGACCTGGCCTTTACCACAATTTGCTGAACAAGTGGATGTAGGAACCTGCAAAAGTTGTTTAAAAAAAAGGAAAGGAAAAAGAGAGAACAAAAAAACACAGTATCTCAAATTCCATGATGATTGGGATAAACTGGATGACAAATCTTTTACATAATATAACTTACTATAAAAGACTTTGACAGACTGGGTCAGCTAAACCCCAGAACCCTTAATTAAATATCAGAAGAAATTGAGTGGACGCAGATGTAAATATTTAAGTACCCATTCTATTATAGCTTGCTAATAAGGATGTAATAATAAATAACAGAGATAATAATAAGATGGGAAAAGGAAGGTAATAATATAGAAATAGGAAGTTATTTAATTAGCATAATATACAATTAACAAATAATATGGATTATCACTATTACAATGACATGTAGAGAAATATTACACTGAAATATATGGAATAATACATTGATTAAAAAAATACTACAACCTGCTAGCAATAAAATACTAACACTTGTGCATTAGAATTATTATTATTATTATTATTTTACATATGTGTAATAATGAAAACTCAGGGCTGCAAAATAAAAATGGCTTCTTTCTTTATAATTCTGTCTTTATAATCTATTAAAGCAAACTTCACCATGATAATTACCTTGAAGACTTCTTCATTATTGTGGATGATTTTAACATCCATGTTGATGCAAAAAATGACAGCCTCAACATGGCATTTGATCTGTTATTGGACTCAACTAGCTTCTCTCAAAATATTTATAAGATAAAATCCATAAAACTAGAACATCTTACTCTTCAGCCCTGTAGCCAGGCTGACAAAAATTCAGAGCTCTGTTGAGTCAGCCAGTCTGCATCACTACAGGCGCAGCACCAATTCGCCTGTTGATCTCCCACTTCATTCTCCCCTAACGCTTAAACAAGGCCCCAAGATACTTAAAGTCTTCCACTTGGGGTATGAACTCTTTCCTGAGCCGGAGTGGGTATGCCACCTTTTTCTGGCTTCACACTCCACTGCAAACTGCTCCAGAGTGAGCTAGAGGCAGTCACCTGATGAAGCCAACAGAGTCAGAACACCTGCAAAAAGCAGACATGAGATTCTCACACCATCCAAGTGGAAGTCTTCCGCCACTTGGCTACGCCTGGAAATTCTATCCATAAAAATTATGAACAGAATCGGTAATAAAGGGCAGCCCTGAATTCCACCAGGGCTGCCCCCTGGAAATGAGTCCAACTTATTTCCAGCTATGTGGACCAAGTTCTTGCAATGGTTGTATAAAGCACTCGTAGCAGTGGGCCAGACACCCCTTACTCCTGAACCACCTCCCACAGGACACTGCGAGGGACAGGGTTGAATGCCTATTCCAAGTCCACAAAAGACACTGGTTGGGCAAACTCACATGATCCCACGAGTATCTTCAAAAGACTAAAGTGCCGGTCGAGTGTTCCACAACCGGGACAAAAACCACATTGTTCCTCCTGTATCCAAGCTTGAACTAACAGATGGCAGCACCCTGGCATAGATTTGGCCAGGGAGGCTGAGGAGTGTGATCCCCCTATAGTTGAAGCACAGCCCCCCCGGTCCCCTTTATCAAAAATGGGAACCACCATCCCAGTCTGCCGATCCAAAGGTACCGCCCCTGATCTCAATGCAACATTGTATTTCACAATTACACTGACAGCTGCTCTTTGCTAATTCTCTTGAACAGGGGGATCAGGTGTGGAAGAGGAACGCTTTCTTAGATCATGACGCATATGGTTCTCCTACATTTGATATTTGCATCTCTATTTGATACATCAGCATTCTCTTGTAACAGAATGCTGATGTGCTCTTGTTTGACTATAGTTTTTGTTCATGTTTGAGGAGAAACACATTAGGACAACTGTAAATCTGACACTTAGACTTATGCCTATAGTTCTGTGGTTAATCATATATTTTCATTATGGAAAAAATAACAGTTGTGGTGTGAGGGTGTGAAAACCGAGACAGACCTACAACATCCAGAGCGTAGAGGAACTTAGGGCAAAACTCGTCCACCAGGTCTGCCCAGCATCCTCCCTTGCCACCTGATCAAACTCACCACATTGAAAATTAATGGGTAATAACTTGCTATTTCCAGATTGTTCTCTTCTGTTTTCACCGCAATATTACTGAGCTGTGATATAATGTGCAACCAATATTTTACCTAATTACAAATGTTACCTCTGCTGTATGCCATTCAAAGTGGTTCTTGGAGATGTGCAGTTCTTGCTCAGAATATTCTCCCACAGTTCTGATATCCACTTGAGATGAGTTTGTCCAGACCCACTGAATGACATCGTATCCTATGTTCGGGTTGCCATATTGGTCGAATTCCAGATGTGTGCTATTTATGTTAATAGAAGTCTTCCTTAAAGCTTCCAACAGCTGCAAAATGAAATGGTTGTTGGTATTATTGATAAGTTTGATTCTAAATTGTGTACAGTGGTCTTTATAATAGAAAAAAATGAAATCACCTTCCAGGGATAGATTTTGCTTCTAGATCCCCACTGACAGGCAGTTAAATTGCACTCCAGCAGGTTATGCAGTGCCTGTGCTACACTATAGACAGCGGCATACACACTGAAAGCTGACATCTGCACTGCAGGTGCTTCTACCAGGGTAATATTATCTGGTGACAAGTTCCAGCATTGTGGGCAGGGATTGTTAGTATTGTAAAGATTTGTGGCTGGAGTGGATGTCTTTATCCTCTCTTCACTGAGTTTCTTGAAAAGCTCCATTGCATAATCGGTGAACAGTCCGAGGGTGTCTGTTTTGTCAATGAATGCAATGATTGTACCAACTGTTTCAATGTCAGGCAGAGAAGTCACTTGAGCATCGATGGCCCAGCTTGTGGTGCCAATCCATACAGCTGTTAAATTACTCCTGATAACCTGGAATAAATTGGATTTGTTTACCAGTACTGAACAAACACTAATAGAAATGAATAGAAATGAATACATTTCTAAGTTACTTTAAATCTCTGTTTCACCAACCTCTTTAAAAAAGATTTCACTTTGCTCTGGGAGAGAAAACACCACTACCACTCTGACATTGGTCATTTGGATATTGTGAATGATGGTTTTGACCATTGGCACAGGGTCAGTGTACACTGGAATCAGACCCTGATAGGCCACACAGATAGATGTGTTGTCTGCAAATTTGGTGAACATCTGCACACCTTCTTGCCCGTACTCCTCGTCACTGCCCACAATTGCCACCCAGTTCCAGCCAAATTCCTCTATTAGCTTTATTATGACATCCACTTGCCATTTGTCACTGGGCACCGTACGAAAGAATGACGGGTAGGAAACATCATCACTGAATTTGTCACTGGTGGCCCCATAGCTAATCTGGTGTGAAAATTAAAAACAAAGTGTTAGTTACCTTTGCTTATTGTTGACACATAAGACTTGATATATTTTTATCAATTAAAAAATGACAATAATATTAATTATAGACTGATTTTGTTTTTTATGACACATGTGACATAACCATACGGATCAAGATTTCGATTACTGCACATTATTTAATGCATGCATTGCATGCACTCTCAAATATGTGCAGCAAGAGAAAATGTCCTGCAAATTATAAAAAAAAAAGTGTATTCAAACCTGTGGCATCAGAAAGAATCCCAGGAGTTTTCCAATGAATGACACCATTTTTGAGGTATAAGGACCAATCACTGCAGCTACGCTGGTCTCATAGGTGGTGTAATTACACCGCACAGATAGTTCTTTGCTGGATTTTTCAGTGAGGAAGGACAGAGTGGGCTTTACAATAATGGCCGACTGGCTGCATGTGTCATAGATTTCATAACCTAACTTGATGCCAGGGAGGAGAGTCTGGTTTCCATTGATTTCATCCACTGCGTATTTCATGGCTATTGCAAGTCCCAGTCCAAGATCATTTACTCTGTTGAGTCCCAAGTAGAAAAAAATAAAAAACTTTTTTAGTCAGGGTCAGTATACACAGTGATTTAGAATCTGAAATGTTAGATATAAAAATATATATTAGATTAAAAAACTTGATATAATGAGTATAAGGAAATGTGAAATTAATGCGATAGAGGTGGGAGATCATGTTATAAGAACAATAACAGTAGAATTGTGATCTTTGGAACAATTAAAATGAAGAAAAAATATCTATTATAGGAGGCAGCAAATGCATTGATGAGACGTAATATTATATCCAGTCGGAAGTAACTTAATAAAGTACAGAAGGAAATAAATGCAAAATATTAGTTATACAATACAACAATTTTTGGTTAAAACATAGTCAAAAGGAGTGTGCTGTTCTCTGTAACGTACGAGGGGAAATTATTACACTAACAAAACATACGTTGTAGATAATATCAAATACTTGAATGAAAAGAAAATAATTTGGATTTAAAAAGTATATAAATACAATTAATCTATTGCATATAATGCACAACTAACAAAACTCATAACTGAGGAAGCACAAGGATTGTGGGAAATGATGGATACGGTAATGAATGTTTTTACAACACCTTTAAGTTAATTTATGTCCAGACATTTAAGTTGATTTTTCGGAAAGAAGAATGCTTGACATGAAATTATTATTATGTTTGTCATACCAAAGCAAGACAAGGACCATATTGAGTGCAGTACTTATTTCTATTTCTTATTTACTTAACACAAATAATGAACAGCAATCATAGCAGACATTTAAAAAATATATATATAATTTATAAAATTATATACCGTGATACTAGTTTTGATCATTAAGTACCTGTGCTGTTTATAAGTCTGGGGAAACCTGCAGTCAGATAATGAAACATTCTCCCATGCAAAACATTTTGAACTGAATCCTAATGTATCATCACCCAATGTAATGCATCCAGGTATTTCCTTACTTGGATTATTGAGCATACATAAAGACAAAACTTCACCAGTATTAATGAATAAGTTGAAAAACATAGCACTTTGCTACTGTTTTTTAAATAATTAATTTATAACCATGACAATTTAAGAAGAGAAAATATATTTCAATGGAAATGCACTCAAAAGTAATACATAAATAAAGCTGAGAAGAAAATTCCATTCAAGTGAAACACATTTGCTGACTTAAAACATGAAGAAGGATTTGTACATTTTATAACATAATGAATAAAGAAGCAATTCCACCCAGATTTATAACCAGATATCTTAGATATTGTCTTCTGATACTTTAATTCTTTAGCTAAAACAGGACTGGTAAGATTTTGGAAGATCTTCACTGAAATGGATTCCTTTGAAAATACTCCTACTTTTCCACTCCTGTTAAAAATAAAGATAGAATCTCAGTTTTTTAAAGAGTCCTTCATAACCATCCTTACCTGTCACAGGTTATCTGGTTTGGCTCTGTTATGTCACTGACGTTGCTGTTGAGGTCGTTAATGGGAAAGAGCCCGCCAAGCATAATGTCCCCAGGTAAACTGAAGAGGTTGGCAGAAATGTTGCTGAACCATTCAGGAAAACTCTCACTAAAGCTCACTCTAAAGAAACAGCACAAAACCAGTAGAGGTAAACATAAAGCCATGATGCCAATAAGCAGGAGACTGAACCCAGAAAGTTTCAGTGCACTTTCATGTCAGTGCATCATGTTTTTATGCAGACGGTTTCATGCAAATTCAGTCCTCATGTCCACCTTCTCCTGACCACCCAACCTGACACTTTAGAGCAAATGGTAAACAAAACAGAAAATTTACATGTGTGGTATGAACAGATATGAACTTTTTAAAATTATTGAATAAAACCTTTTTCATCATAATGAAAAGTCAAAAAACAAATGCAAACTCTGGTGTATGAAGATTGAATGGCACAGTCTCATTTAATGACCTTAATGGTTTTCACATAATTAGGACATTGCATTTAATTAACATGTACCTAGAGGTAAAGACTTTGCACATGTTATGCATGTTTGTGTGTATGCTGTGTCAGTTGTGTTCATCTTTCCGGAGAATTTTCCTAACATTTGTTTGTGGCTTGAAATTTGCTTCTCTTTGGTGTCTGCCATGAGATGAGCAATTCCTTTCCGCCTACTTACCCAGAGTAATCCTTGCATATCGAATGTTAGTTTTTGGAAGGTTTTCACTTCACTGACTTTATAACATAACTTTTGTGATAAATTATGCTTATTTTACCCTATTATTGATGCAATTCTGAGCCACTGAAGAGCATTAATAGGTGTTTGTCCTGAAATTGGTTGATAATAACCTTTATATTGAGATGTGTTTTCATGGAGCTTTGTACTCACCACACTATTGGCTTTGCATGTTTTTGCATCCAATGTTGCTAAAACCAACTGAAATATTAGCTCTCATGACATCTACATAATTCTGAAGTGCACATGTATTATCTACAGGTGGGTGAAAAGTTTAATACCCATGATTAGTATATGTAACGTCATGGTAATTTAATGTGTTCTTTAAATTGTTCTTGTGGAATAATTGCACAGCATACATGTTAATGACAAAGGAACTCAGTAAGGATCTAAGAAGGAGAATTATACATTTCCACAAATTAGGAAGGTCTCTTGGAGCCATTTCTAAACAAATGCAGATTTCAAAATTTATCAGTTCCACTTTGCCAAAGTCAGAAAGAAGGCTCAAACTGTCAGCCACAGATGGGAGGAAACTGGTTAGGGTATTAAGGAACAACCCAGGAACTACCAAGACTCAAGCCTGCCATGAACTAGAACTTGTTGGAACAGCAGCTTAACTGTCCACAGTGAAATGGGTTTTACAACACCATGGATGGTAAGGGTGCCAACCAAGAGGGAAACCTCTGCTCCAAAACTCACATCTTCATTCTCAAATGAAGTGTATACACATAGAAGCCAAATGCTTTCTGGAGAAAAGGTTTTTGGTCAGACGAGACAAAGATTAAGTTATTTAGTCACAATGTCAAGTTGTATTCTTGGAGGAGTAAAGGTGATACTTTACCTAAGAATACTCTGACAGCTGCTGGTGGTAGCATCATACTCTTGGGCTGCTTTGCTGACATTTGTATTGGTACATTGCAGAACATGTATGGAACAATGAAGAAGGAGGACCTCCTCAAATCAATAGCTAAATGGCTGAAACTTGGACACAGTTTAATGTTCCAACAGGAAAATGATCCCAAACACACATCAAAACTGGTTTTTGGAAAATATAAAGCCCTTGCCAGGAAACCAAGCATTTTAAATGAACTCAACTAATTCTGAGAGTGGTCAAATATCCAGGGAGATACAACAGCATCATCATGTATTGCCAAACAAACAAAAAAACAAAACAAAAAATGAATCAAAAGAGAGCAAAAACACTTGGCTTGCTACAGGTTTATCTTTTCTTGAACTATTCTCAAATATTAAGCCAGGAGTGTCTGATTTTACTTCATGTACTCAGTTTCATCTGAAATGTTATAGAAAGCAGTTTTTTATCTTTCTTTTGGTGTCAAGAAGTGCATGCATATTGTAAAACACTCATGATGATCAACAGCCAGTTTTCCACAATATGCCAGGGTCTTTCCATATTTAATAAGTCTGTTATCTTTATTTGTGCTTACAGTTCAGAATCACAAAATCTTCACATGGTGATAAGTTTGTCTTGGTAATAAAAAAAAAAACACAAGAAGTTTTTTTATGATTTGAGCAAGTGGTTAAATCGTTTTCTTATTTAAAATTAGAATTGCCAGTGATTCTACTAAGTTTTATATTTGCAAAGTCAATCATTGTATAACATTTGACCTTCTGGTTGAATGAATCTGGCCTGTAGTGTATCTGGATCCTGTAAGCCTTGTATTGGCCCTTTCAAATATTTTTACATTCATGAATTTTTCTTTTTTAAATACCACCACCCACCAACAAATAGCTTTAAATGCACATCATTGGGTCAATAATTATGATCCAGTAATTCCAGCAAATCCAGTTCTCCATAGTATTCTGAAAAGTGGGATTCTACGTAATGTGTTTACTTTAGGTACTTTGATTATACAACTAAAACAATATCAAGTTACTGTATGATTAAACATTTTACATCCGTAAAAAGCCCAGTGTGCAGCTCCACTTTTTGTGTACCAAATCTGTAGCAGATCACAGGTACAGACTCACCATCATGTCCAATTTTTTGTTTACAAATTGTAAATTAAAACCATTAAAATGTGATGGCCTACAAACATAAGAGGAGAAACATGAGTAAAAGAAAACCACATTAATCATTTCTAGGGTTTAAGTTGGAAACATTCAATATGCATCACTGTAAAACACATTAACCGACATACTGTAGAGGAAGATCCTAAAGACAGAAATGAAATGGAGAGCGATTCATAGTAATCTTACTATAAGGAAGAGTTGCATTATTTAGTCCTGATTCTCTAGTTGACATTTGGAGCATGCAAGGGGGAAGTGGTTTCCAGTTTGCTGCACATAACTAAAGGCATTCTTACGAATCACATTTCACTGAGAAATACTCACAGCAACAGCAGAGAAAGTCAAGGTGCAAAGCAGCTGCTACAAACAGATTATGAAAATGTGTAGTTTTAACAGTCATCTCAATTTATTTCAATTGAATTACATTTTATTTATACAGTACCAAATCCCAACAATTATCTCAAGGTGCTTTATATTACAATATATATTTTGAGAGCATCTTGCCTCTGGCTGCTCTCTTTCCTTCCTGTAGGGAAAACCCACAGGAGTGTACCCTCACCTGTTCCTGCTGAATCACATGTTGGCACATCTGCATTTTATCAGATCAGATCATTTCCTGCACATGAAAGAACTGCTTCTCATTCGTTCTCGATCCATCACCAGATCGTTATAGTTATCAAAGCGGTAAGAGACTTTGAATGCTCAGATATGCCCCGCACTGATCCAGTCTGCTTTTGCTCAACCACAAAGACATACACTGCCTGTTGGAAATACTTCTCAGGTAAAAATCCTCTGAAAAGATGTTTACCTGTGACTGATCGGAAACTACAGTATAGAAATTTGCAAAATTTACTTTTGTTTAGCATTAAAACATGTTGAGCACACTTCTGCAAGTTCTTGCATTATATGTGAATAAAACTTCATCAATCATTTTTTCAGTGTATCTTTTGACATGAGTAAGCTTGACTTTAGGACAAAGGGTTTGCCGTGGGAATAAAGGAAGTCTGCTGCTATCTTGTCATCTTGACGTAAGAAGGTCGGTGTTAGTTTGCTTTAATACAGCTTGTCTGCTCCTGTCTTCTTACCCTCACCCTTTTACACAAGCTGGCATGCAAGGTTTTATCCTCTCTGTGAATGGTCAGGATCTCTTTATTTGCAGAAACATTTAAAGATGCTTACATGTCTCTGACTGGATCTTGTGTGCGGGCGGGTTCAGTATTTGTGCATACAGTGCATGCAAGATTAACATCTTGTTTATGTCAGAGCAGCTTTCTTCCTCAAGCATGAAATCACCTCCTACCTTTTTGTGTTTTGTAGCTAAGGAGACCATTTATTGATAATCTGGCCCAACATCACACACATGCAAAGAGTTGCCTGTTTTGTTTCATACACAGTGATAAATCAGTGCGGTACTAAGACAAAGGAAAAAGTAAAAAAATATATTAACACGACTGCAAAACCTATAACCATGGCTGTTAGCTGTCTTCTCATAATGATTCCTATGAATGCTGTAAACAGTTTTTTCTTGACAAAGTAGCACAAGATCTTTCTGCTTGGCTGGATGCCATTAGAGGTTAGGATGGGAATTGTTTCACACACTGTGCAACTATGAAAAAGGAGTGGATCCCTACTGTAGTGGTTCAAAAATGTTCTTGACACAAGAAATTTTAAAGGTTTCAAGACCAGGAGAAGACACAAATTAGGAAAGGCATCTGGTGCAAAATTGGTGGCAAAGGTAACATCTGTCTGTTGTGGTGACCCCTTGGGAAGTAAGGGAGCAGCTGAAAGCACCTACAGTTTATGGACTTTGATTTAGGTGGGGGGGGGGGGGGGGGGGGGGTGTCATGTGGGCACCCTGTGCTGCTGGGGTTGTGCCAGCTGGTATATTTCCTGGGCTTTGGGTTTGTTAGGGTTCCCTTAGCTCTTACTGTGCTATGGTTCCTTTTCTTTGCAGTCCATACTGCTTGGGTGAGACCAGGATGCGTTGTGTGGCCTCGGGCACTGGTGGAGGCCTCCCTGCATGTTTTTGGCTCAGCACCTTATTATCCACTCTGTCCTGGTCTTCACTGTTGGTTGGGGCCACTTGGGGTTTCTGGGTTTGTGTGGGTTCTCGTCATCCCTCCGTGTGTTAGTGTTCAGGTTCCTTTGATTTGCGTGACTGTGGTGGTGGGAGCACGTGTTCTCGATGTGTGAAACAGCCACATCTATACAAGATGATGGAAACTAATCCTGTAGCTCATGGCACATGTGACATTTGAGTTTGCTACCTGTTTCATCATTACATTTCATTACAGTAAAACAATAAAGGAAAAAAAGAGACTATCAGTTATTCAACAACAAAGTTCTAACACTGTGTTAGCAGCTAAAAGATTAAACTCAAACTCAGTGATTCAAATAACATAAAGTGTATTATTCAGAAGCAGAACTGTCTGCATGACAATTTTATTTTTGTTCAAGACAATACTTGAAAGCCAACTCTATTGCATGCATGACTTGCATCTCTAACAGTGTATTTCAAAACTGCAAACATGCATATTGAAAAAAAACAAAAAACATTTTGCAGTACATTAAGTTTAGTTCCTCAATTATTTTTATTCAGTTAATGTTTTTGTGACTAACATTAATACAAGCAAAACAATGTTCATGGTAAATAATCAGCGACAAATGTGAACCCATAGACTTCATGTTACTAAACAAACACAATGCACTCTTTGTTATTTGCTGTATGGATTACATGCTTGCAGAGTATTAGGATAAAATGCTTATTATAACCTAATCTAGTGTATTTTATAGTCTTCTAGCCTTTGTTATATATTACACATCCATAAATATAATGTAATGTTTGGTTTTTAGAATATGATTCTTTGATTTACTTTATAAACAGTTTAACTGTCTATTGTCCTTCCTGTGCTTTTGGCTGTTGCTCTTCTTCTGCTTGAGTTGGTGGGACGCCCTCCAAGAAGGTACAGAAGTACTTTGGTGTGTTTAAATGAGGTTTCCTTAACAGCAAGTAGCATTTTGGAAAGTAGTAGGCTGCCAACAGTCCAAAGTTGCTTGCCAGGCTGAAATAAACATGGACAACTGACCTGTTCTTGTTATTATCTCTGTTGTTTTCTGTGTAGATTGGAATAAAGATCACCCAAATGACACAGTAGATCAGGGTGGAAAAGGTGATGTCTCTGGCTAGATTATACTGATGAAGAGGCTTCACTGCCATGAAGCTGCACATGAACGATGCAAGGGCCATTACACCATTGAAACCCTGCATTAAGGCAAATCCAATCAAAGGTGAAACAGGACACGAGAGGAATGATTCTACAAAGTCTATTGTCATATTTGCCACATATCCAGACAATGAAGGTCCTTCTTGAACAAACCAGCCACAGAGACCAGCCTGCACAGCGCAGCAGATCAGCACAAACAGCCAGCTCACAGGGCCTCTTAACAAATGCAGGTGAGAGGCAGCCATCTCTGGGAACTCTGTCACATAGAGTATCTGTTCGAAAAGAAAGGTTACCATTAGTCTTGTACTGTGTACTTCGGTTCCACAGTATATTATGCACGCTCCCACATAGGCAATAATTACACAAACGTTTGGGGTTGTGTCAAGTCACAGTTAGGTGGTTAGAAATTCATATTCTACAAAACTAAATAAGAAAGCAACTATATCAGTCATTACAAGGCTAGTTTTATAGACCTCAGAAGCTGCCATTTCGTGTTTTTACTTAAGTGCATTTGAAGTGATTTGTTGGCAGTATTTTTGAATACACTAAAGTTGTTAATTAGATTTTTTTAATGATGTTAATATAAATATAATTTGTACTTTGACGATTTTCATTTCTATACTATGCTTATCTTTTGAAAGTTCAAACCATTATCTTTATGTCTAACCAATTCTGTAGTTTCTGCACACTGCCAATGTGTGGCAGTGTTTCACAACTCTTTCCTCACCTGTAGTGAGATGGAACTATAATGGAGAGGGTGAGCGTCTGGAAAAAGGAGGTGAAGGGCAGCTGAAGACGACACACCACATCCCCTGGCGCCCCCAGGAAAGACAGCAGACTGAGACATGCTCCCATCAGGCCAAGCACAGCCACAAAACTCAAGGGACCCCCCGAGGCCGTTACCAGTGGGGTTCCACGGTGCATCAGGAACATGACACCCACTGCACCCAGACATACCAGCAGCAGCGTACCAACCAGCATCATTATCACAGCATCCTGGCTGTGCCACTCAAAAAACTTAAAGATGGGGTCAGTGCAGTTTGTGCTGCGATGCTGGGACCACTGACGGTTGGGACACTTAGTACACTGGGTGTCGTCTGTGAGTGAGAAAGCACAAAAAACACACACAGCTCCTCTGTTAATCAAGAGCATAGATAGGACTCATAGGAATGTAACTTAATGTGTTTAGTTGAATACTTCATTATTACTTCATTTAAGTACTTAATTTGAAGTACTTTTTATGTTATGCTACTTCTGTTTCTACTCCACTATTTATTTCTACTTCATACTAGGTCATTTATTTTATTTTAACTTATTATTTTACAGATAAATTACATTATACATTATAAGATCTGCCAGTTATTGAATCAGTAATATTTAGGTAAATAAAATAATCAACAGCTTCAGTGACCAAGTATCACAATCTATACGATTTCACATAACATGTATATAAAAATAACAGAAAATTGCTCACTCAACACAGCTTTGTGTTGGATAATATTACACAGCACAATTTATCATTTGATGGGAGACAGACCTGAACATCAGCCTGAAAACTGTGCCCAGTGGCATTTTATACTGAGTTTAATTTATGATTAAATATTCTGAGTTCCCAAGTTTTTGCCTTTGCGTGTTTTCCTGGCTATTCAATTATTCAATTATAATAGCATCACTCTGAAAACTTTAGCGGTGCTGGCAGGTAGAGGAACTCTCATTATGGTTATTTTTTAGGTTATACTAAATTAACCTGCAGGTTTATTTTATGAGAAATGCGTGAGAGTATCTATCTCTGACAAGAATTCAAATAACCAAGGTCCGATATGTGAGACAAGAATGAACAAATACACTACCATTTTTTGCCTGGTAAGTGCCAGCAAGACAGTCAATGCAGTCAAAACAGCAGGAATGGAAGCCTTTGACTCTGTGGACCTGACCCGTGTCACATTTTGCTGAACAGTTTGATGTAGGAACCTGCAAAAGTTGTGGTAAATAATTCAGGAATTCAAACTGGGTCATGATTTCACTAAATTGGTTGAAATACCTTTTACACAATTTTTTTTTTTAAAGTTACCTTGTTAGCTGACCAATTAAAGAGGGCCTCATTCAGGAACAGTTTCTCTTCGGTATAATTTCCCACAGTTTTAAAATTCACTTTCGATGGGTGTTTCCAGTCCCACTGAATGACATTGTAACCCATGTTTGGGTTGCCATTATCGTCAAACTCTATACGTGTGCCATTTATGTTAAGAGAAGTGTTCCTTAAAGTCTCCAACAGCTGCAAAATGATGATTTTTTTTAATGATTTGATTATTGTTGTTATTGATAAACTTGATTGCAAATTTTGTGCAGTCACCCATATACTAGAAAAAATAAAATAAATCACCTTCCAGGGATAGATTTTGCTTCCAGATCCCCACTTACAGGCAGTTGAATTGCACTCCAGCAGGTTATGCAGTGCCTGTGCTACACTGTAAACAGCAGCATACACACTGAAAGCTGACGTCTGCACTGCAGGTGCTTCCACTATGCTAATGTTGTCTAGTGACAATTTCCAGCATTGTGGGCAGCGATTGTTTGGATGATTAAGATTTGTAGTTGGAGTGGATGTCTTTGCCCGCTCTGCACTGAGTTTCTTGAAGAGCTCCATTGCATAATCACTGAACAAGCTGAGCGTGCCTATTTTGTCAAGGAATCCGACGACTGTTCCAATTGTTTCAATGTTGGGTAGAGAAGTCACTTGAGCATCGATGGTCCAACTTGTGCTGGCAATCCAAACAGCTGTTAAATTACTCCTGATAACCTGGAATAAATTAAATGATTAACTGGTGCTGAACAAATTCTGACCACTAATAGAAAATAATAAATTTCTTAGTTGCTTTAGATATCTGCTTCACCAACCTCTTTAAAAAAGATTTCACTTTGCTCTGGAAGAGTGAACACCACCACCACTCCAACTTTAGTCTCTTTTATATTGCCTATAATGGTTTTGACCATTGGCACAGGGTCAGTGTACACTGGAATCAGACCCTGATAGGCCACACAGATAGATGCGTTGTCTGCAAATTTGGTGAACATCTGCACACCTTGTTGTCCGTACTCCTCGTCACTGCCCACAATTGCCACCCAGTTCCAGCCAAATTTCTCTATTAGCTTTATTATGACATCCACTTGCCATTTGTCACTGGGCACCGTACGAAAGAATGACGGGTAGGAAACATCATCACTGAATTTGTCACTGGTGGCTCCATAGCTAATCTGGTGCAAGTATAAAAAAGTAAAAATTAGCGTTGTTTACCTGTACTCACTGTTGACATACTGGATAATACCTAATATATCATGGTAAAAATGTTAAATTAACTAAACAGGAAAGAATTAATTTTCTGTGATATAACCTGGCACAAATCCTTAGATCTACCTGTAAGAGTTACTTTTACATTTGAAATATTTATTGTCAGATCTTTGCATTAATAGAAACTATGCTTTAAATCTTAAGATGTATGTGTATTCAAACCTGTGGCATCAAAAAGAATCCCAGGAGTTTTCCAATGACTGACACCATTTCTGAGACATAAGGACCAATCACTGCAACTACGCTCGTCTCATAGTCGGTGTAATTACACTGCACAGGTAGTTCTTGGTTGAATTTTGCAGTGAGAAAAGACAGAGTGGGCTTTATAATGACTGATGCTTGTGTGCATGTGTCATAGATTTCATAACCTAACTTGATGCCAGGGAGGAGAGTCTGGTTTCCGTTGATTTCATCCACTGCGTATTTCATGGCTATAGCAAGTCCCAGTCCAAGATCATTTAAACTGTTCAGCCACAAGCAGAAAACGGTAGAAGTCATGGTAAGTTAGGGTTAGCGTACACTGTCATTTATACAGGGAGTGCAGAATTATTAGGCAAGTTGTATTTTTGAGGAATAATGTTATTATTGAACAACAACCATGTTCTCAATGAACCCAAAAAACTCATTAATATCAAAGCTGAATGTTTTTGGAAGTAGTTTTTAGTTTGTTTTTAGTTTTAGCTATTTTAGGGGGATATCTGTGTGTGCAGGTGACTATTACTGTGCATAATTATTAGGCAACTTAACAAAAAACAAATATATACCCATTTCAATTATTTATTTTTACCAGTGAAACCAATATAACATCTCCACATTCACAAATATACATTTCTGACATTCAAAAACAAAACAAAATCAAATCAGCGACCAATATAGCCACCTTTCTTTGCAAGGACACTCAAAAGCCTGCCATCCATGGATTCTGTCAGTGTTTTGATCTGTTCACCATCAACATTGCGTGCAGCAGCAACCACAGCCTCCCAGACACTGTTCAGAGAGGTGTACTGTTTTCCCTCCTTGTAAATCTCACATTTGATGATGGACCACAGGTTTTCAATGGAGTTCAGATCAGGTGAACAAGGTGGCCATGTCATTAGTTTTTCTTCTTTCATACCCTTTCTTGCCAGCCACGCTGTGGAGTACTTGGACGCATGTGATGGAGCATTGTCCTGCATGAAAAGCATGTTTTTCTTGAAGGATGCAGACTTCTTCCTGTACCACTGCTTGAAGGTGTCTTCCAGAAACTGGCAGTAGGACTGGGAGCTGAGCTTGACTCCATCCTCAACCCGAAAAGGCCCCACAAGCTCATCTTTGATGATACCAGCCCAAACCAGTACTCCACCTCCACCTTGCTGCGTCTGAGTCGGACTGGAGCTCTCTGCCCTTTACCAATCCAGCCACGGGCCCATCCATCTGGCCCATCAAGACTCACTCTCATGTCATCAGTCCATAAAACCTTAGAAAAACCAGTCTTGAGATATTTCTTGGCCCAGTCTTGACGTTTCAGCTTGTGTGTCTTGTTCAGTGGTGGTCGTCTTTCAGCCTTTCTTACCTTGGCCATGTCTCTGAGTATTGCACACCTTGTGCTTTTGGGCACTCCAGTGAGGTTGCAGCTCTGAAATATGGCCAAACTGGTGGCAAGTGGCATCTTGGCAGCTGCACGCTTGACTTTTCTCAGTTCATGGGCAGTTATTTGGCGCCTTGGTTTTTCCACACGCTTCTTGCGACCCTGTTGACTATTTTGAATGAAATGCTTGATTGTTCGATGATCACGCTTCAGAAGCTTTGCAATTTTGAGACTGCTGCATCCCTCTGCAAGATATCTCACTATTTTTGACTTTTCTGAGCCTGTCAAGTCCTTCTTTTGACCCATTTTGCCAAAGGAAAGGCCGTTGCCTAATAATTATGCACACCTGATATAGGGTGTTGATGTCATTAGACCACACCCCTTCTCATTACAGAGATGCACATCACCTAATATGCTTAATTGGTAGTAGGCTTTCGAGCCTATACAGCTTGGAGTAAGACAACATGCATGAAGAGGATGATGTGGACAAAATACTCATTTGCCTAATAATTCTGCACTCCCTGTATATGTGATGAATTTTTCTTAACCATCCTTACCTTTCACAGCTTATCTGGTTTGGCTCTGTTATGTCACTGAGGCTGCTGGTGACATCGTTAATGGGAAAGAGCCCTCCGAGCATAATGTCCCCAGACAAACTGAAGAGGTTGGTAGAAATGTTGTTGACCCATTCAGGCAAACTCTCACTGCAGCGCAGTGTAAAGAAACAGCACAAAACCAGCAGAGTGAAACGTGAAGCCATGATCCCAATAAGTGTTAGACTGAAGGCACAGTACTGACATTACTGTATTTTCTTGTCAGAGCATCATGACAGATGGTTTTATGCAAATTCACCCATAAGTCCATATGCCCTCCCTTGCCTGTCTGACCAAACCTGACAGTTTAGGAAGAGCAAATTGCAAATAAAAACAAATACATGTGTAGTATGACCTGATATGAATCTTTTCATACAATCTTTTTAGAAATTTTTTTTTTGATGATGTTAAAAAGACTCTAATGATTTTCACACGGTTAAGATATTGCATTTAATTGTCACGCTCCTAGATGAAAAGACTCACCATAGAGACACTATGTTATTACTCTATGTTAGCGTGTATGCTGCATCAGCGGTGTTCATCTTTCATGACATTTTCATTACATTTGTTTGTGGTTTGGAATTTGTCTTTTTTTCTTTGTGGATTTTTCCTTTTTTTTGGTGTATCAGTCTTTCATGAGATGAGCACACACAGTAAACCCCTGTGTGTGTCAACTTACTGAGATGTTATCACAGCAACACCTTGCATGTCCAATGTTATGTTAAGTTGGTTACTTTTGGTCATTTACGTGAAAATATATAGTGACAAACCCAAGAGGCCACAAAAACTACTCACATGTTTAAAGTTTGTGTGATGTTGAACATTACATTATTATCTGTTTTTGTTCATCTTTTAAAAAAATTTTTACCTCACTGTTGGCTTTGCATGTGTATTTGCATGTAATGTTGCACAAAGCAGGTTCATGCAAAGGTTATTTAAATAAACCTACAGCAGACATATAAGTAAGCTCTTTTAAATGTTCATTTAAAAATATCCTGTACAAACTTTGAAGGTTTTGTTCATAATTCAGTTGCCTTTAAAAAAATATTACAGGTCCAGTTTATCTGTATTTTAAAAATATTTGGTAACATATTTTTAAAAAACATATGGCCATTCCTGTTTTAACGTGCATGTATCCCATAAAAGATCTGTAACTTCTATGAACTACACTCTGAAATGGTGCAAATGTGTAAAGAGACATTTTGCAAGCTTGAGTAAAAGTTTTACACACCACATATTTTCAGTTGATAATTGGCTGACTGGTATTTGTACCAACAAACAGCATAAAAACTTACAATGCACTTGATTTGCATCCTTGAGTTTCTACAGAAAGGAGGTGTGGATTCACATGAAGCCAAAGTGAACTGACAGGCTAAGTGTTGTTTTCTTTAGAGTGCATGTTATTTGGTAAAACTGGAATCAATATTAAGACACTGAGCTAAAAACAAGCCCAACTAAGTCATTATATTATTAACTAATCAACATAAATAAATAAATAAACTTGGCTTGCTTCAAGTTTATTTTCTTTCCTGGAGTTATTAACACAAGGCCTTGAATTGTTCTCAAATGTGTTCATGGACCACAAACAGTTTAGGTTAGGCTAAAGTAAGCCAGACCTGTTAAACCCTTCCATAATAATCAGCTTTAAGAAAGCATTTCCTGTCCTTTCTCTTTCTTGTAGTGTAAACGAGTAGCAGTACTGTGAAAAAGCCATCCCTCTTTTCATTATGTTGAAATAGGTGCAGTGACTTGTTAAAAATTTGCAAACATAAACATAAATACAGGATATAAGGCAAAAGCACAGTTTGTATTCTTCATAGAGGATGAGTTATTCAAAGCTCTTCTTTGAATATTAGCATTGCATTTTTTCCATCCTGTAAAGATACCACACTCCTTCAATAATGTTGAGGTCCAGGATATTGGAAGGTCAATCCATAACTGATATTGTGCATTTTCCATCCAGTATTTGGGATCATTGTCATGCTGAAAAGTGAAGCTGTTGGCAATGGAACGAGAGGACTAAAAATCTGATTGTGCTTTGTTGTGTTTATAATTCCATCTATTTTGACAAGCTCTTGTACCTCTCCGGACAATCTCTGATGACGATTTGAAATAAAATTTTCAAATTTGGACTCATCACTCTATGAGACCTGTTTCCACTGAAACAGTGGAACAGACACTGTTCATCTACTATAGAAACTTTTTTTTCTTGCCACGTATTAACAGAAGTAGCCAAGGACCTGAAGATACAATTTAAAATTGGCTCTTTTATAGCTTATCTTGTGGACTTGTGGACACAAAACTGGTTAAAAAAAGATCCCTCTGAAAATGGTCAGGTTCAAGGACCGGACTGAAAACGAGTGAGGCAGCAAATTTACAAAGAAAATTTTTGAAAGGCCTTCAGAAAACCTGGAGAACTATTGTTTAAGACCATTTAAAACATTATGAGAAACTCTGGCTCCCTGGAAGCAAAATATAAAGCAATGAGTTGTGCTTGAGACTTTTGGACAGCTCTGTATTTTGTAAAATGATTACTTTTAATGAACCATCTATTTAAGTTTACTGGCTGATAATGAAAAGTCTGTTTTAATATTTCTGCGGTATTTCACAATCAACAAATCTGCTGTTGTTCTGGGTGCTTTTATATTGCACACATCAAAGCCCAAAACCTTCACATATAGTTAGTTTGAATTCTATCTGATTTGAGCAATTTGTTTTGAAAATCTTAATAGAAATTTTGAGTTTCTCTTCTATTTTTACACCTTGTGAAGTGATCATTGTGTCAGATTTAACCCTGTGGTTGTCTGATTCAGGCCTGTAGACTGTGTGTTTGCTGTTAGCCTTTTTTTCTCTTCTATATAGGGCTGCTCAATTAATCGAATTTTAATCACGATTACGATCTGGGCTTTCAACGATCATTAAAAATGACTGAGCCGATTATTAGCCCCTCCCTCGTGCTTTACTCTCGCGCTGCTCCGTGTGGCAAATCGAGCGCACCTCTCTGCATTTCGAACAGGTGTCACAACAATTAAGAGGACCCAAGGGAAGCTCGGAAAGCTAAGCAGAAGTTATTTGGAGAGGAGAGTGACTGCCGTTGGTTGAAAAGAGAGGTAAAAAAAAACAAAAAAAACTTCTGTGGTGTGGAAACATTATGGGTTCGTGGAGTCAGACGTGGATCAAGTAGACATAGTGTGTAAACTTTGCTACAGTGTCGTAGCTGCACCACAGAGCAACACTGCAAAGTTCACGAAACATAGATGTTTACATTTTTCATTTATTTTTTTATATTGCAAACATTTGCACTGTTATCAGTATTTGCACACTATTTTATATTATTTTTTAAAGTCATTATTCAATACATTGTTATTGTTAACCCTTTAAATCCCTGTAGAACCAGAAACGCGTAAGCTAGCGCAATAATTTGTTTTGGGGAGGAGTTGTACTTACATCTTATGCCATCAGCTTGTCCTCGGTCACGGTTTCCTTCCACGTAAAGCTTTACAAAAATTGCATAAAAAGCACTTGCAGGAAAAAAAACATAATATTCCAGAAACAGGCGTTGCCGATCTGATCAGCTGTTCGTAACACTTCCCACAATGAAAAAGAGGTCAACGTGAACTACCGCATGTCCACCATTTCCTGTCTGAAACCGGAAGTGACGTCATTTTCGCGGAAAATTTAGTTTTTTTTACTTGTAGGCCTTAAAAGCCTATACTGGTGTTTTTATAAGTCATGTTTACTTTTCTGAATAGTTTCTGGGATGCTTAGAACTCGAATTGCACTGCTGGAAATAGTTTATTTTGATGCACATGCTGTTTTCTTTGCAAATTTGCATCATAGGATTGTTTTTTGTTTTTCCTCCAGTACATAAAAAATGCTATATCTCCAAAATAAAACTATGAAGACACTCAAAATAAATTTCCTGTTGTTGTAAACTATTTTTTGCAACTTTTTTGTATTTAAAGTTTTGAGGGATAAACCTCTTCAATTCAATTCAATTTTTTTTATATTTATTGCACTTTTTGTAATTAATGTAATTACTATGGACTTAATGCATACATATTATTAAATAGGGGTGCAACGATACTCGTATTGATATTGAACCGTTCGATACAGTGCTTTCGGTTCGGTACGCATATGTATCGAACAATACAAAATTTGTAATTTATTTTATCAACTGGCACGGTGGTTAGCACTGTTGCCGCACAGCAAGAAGGTCCTGAGTTCAATTCCAACATCAGGCCGGGGTCTTTCTGTGTGGAGTTTGGATGTTCTCCCCGTGTTTGCGTAGGTTCTCTCCGGGTACTCCGGCTTCCTCCCACCATCCAAAGACATGCAGCTTGTGGGGATAGGTTAATTGGATAATCCAAATTGCCACTAGGTGTGAATGTGCGAATGAATGTGAGTGCGAATGGTTGTCTGTCCCTGTGTGTTGGCCCTGCGACAGACTGACGACCTGTCCAGGGTGTACCCTGCCTCTCGCCCTATGACAGCTGGGATGGGCTCCAGCGCCCCCCGCGACCCTGAAAAGGATAAGCGGAAGCGAATGGATGGATGGATGGATGGATTTTATCAACTTTCCTTCTGACGATGCTGTCTGTGTTGAGTGCTCAGGGAATCTGCGTTCGACTACTCTACGTTCGACTACTACACTGTCGAGCGCAGATCCACTGAGCGTTCAACACAGACAGCATTGTCAGAAGGAAGAGCGCAGGGCAAGCTAGCGAGACAGAAGTTAAGCTCTCATTGCAACATGGCAAATTGAACCTCCCCCACCATCATTCAGATCTGGCGTTTGGAATTATTTTGCTTTTCATGTGACGTATGACCCTGAAGGTAAGCGCGTCATGGACTAAAGTAAAACAGTATGTTGGATGTGCCACGCAATGCTCAATTACATGGGTGGAAACTAGTGTGTTAGCGCAGTTAGCTCGTTAACGTGTTGGCCGTCTAGCCCCACGCACAGGGCGATCAGGGGTAGCTCATTAACGGAGATTTGCCGTGTTGTGGCGTTAACGTCATTTCAACGGGCTCCTACCTCAAAGCACAGTGTTCTGTTGATCTTATGTGCTGCACAATAATGTTTAACATTTAGTATTTACTGTCATATTCCCATATATCATTGTGATGTTGTTTATTCTATTACTCTTGTTCTCTTCTGCTTGCT